CTCACCGGTGGTTCGGTCGCAGAGGTTCAAAGGATTGGCCTGCACAGTCACCAGATCTGAACCCCTTACATTACTTCCTATGCGCTTATTTGAAAATAAGAACTTAGAAAACGCCTATTTCACTGGAACAACTGAAAGGCAGTCGTGGTCAAGAAGCCGAATGGTTCCCTCCGCATCTGTGCAGATTTCTCCACCGGTCTCAACGCAGCACTATAGTCAAATTGCTACCCGCTACTGATCCCCGCCGACCTCTTCACAATACTCAACGTTGGCACGTGTTTCGCAAAAATCCACCTGGCAGACACCGACCTGCAGATCGACGTCGCCCCTGAGTCACAAGCCCTCCTGACGATCAATACGCATCGTGGTCTTCTCCAGTACACTAGGCTCCCGTTTGGTGTCGAAACCGCTGCAGCCATTTTCCAACAGACGATGGACGCTATGATTTCGGACATTCCAGGTACGGCCGCATACCTGGACGACCTACCCATTGTTGGTCGCACCCCAGAAGAGATTCGAGAGCACCTGGTTGCCGTCCTTCAACGGGTCCAGGAGTACGGTTTCCGCCTGAAAGTCGAGAAATGACAATTCTTCCTTCCGTCGACCAAATACCTTGGTTTCGTTTTCGATACCAATGGTCGTCATCCTGATCCTGAGAACGTCAGAGCCATCCAGCAGATGTCAGCTCCAGCGGATGTGTTATAACTGCGGTCCTTGCTGGGTCTCAACATCTACTACAGGGCCTTCCTGACACTGCTACACCATGTTCGAGCCCCGCTCAATCGGTTGTGGCAGAAGGAGGTTCCTTGGCACTTGTCCCCCGCATATGAGAAAGCTTTCGTTTACCTGAAAGTCTTGCTGAGTTCTGACGTACTGTTGACCCATTGCGACCCAACCTTGCCACTTTTGGTCGCTGCTGATGCTCCTGCCTATGGGATCGAAGCAGTTCTCTCCCATCGATTGCCAAATAGTTCCGAGAAAGCTGTTATGCACGTCTCTCGCACTGTGACGCCTGCGGAAAAGAACTATGGTCAGATCGAGAAGGAAGCTCTTGCCGTCATCTTTGCCGTCACAAAGTTCCACAAGATGCTGTATGGCCGGTGGTTCACGCTATTGACCAACCACAAGCTCCTAATTCAATCTTCGTTTCAAAGAAGGGCATTCCCGCATACTCGGCTAGCCGACTTAAGCGTTGGGTGGTCATCCTTCTTGGTTACGACTTCGAAATCCGCTACTGCCGTACTCAGGATTTTGGTCAAGCCAACGGTCTCTCCTGCTTCATTTCCAAACATGCCGCAGTAAAAGACACAGTGATTGCCGCTGTAACCGTCCAGGACGACGTTCGTTATCAACTCTCGAACGCTATCCGTAGTCTCCCCATTATTGCCGCCAGCATACGTCGTGCCACTGCTTAAGACTCTGCTTTGCAGAAAGCCGCCACTTACGTTCCGAAGTGATGGCCAAACACTGCCGTGTCTGGTGAACTTAAACAACTACATCAACGCCACGACTTCCTTTCCGTGGTCGATTCCTGCCTCAAGACTGCAGATCGTATTGCCGTTCCTTCATTCCTCCGGCAAGCTGTACTCCGCCAGCTCCATTCTGCTCACCCCGGTATGAACAGAATGAAGGCAATTGCCCGCAGTTATGTGTACTGGCCTGGCATTGACAACGACATTCAAGATTTGGTTCGCCGCTGCTCAAAATGTCAACATGCCTCGAAGATGTCACCACACCAATCACCGGTTCCTTTGCTTCCGTCAGCAAAACCGTGGTCCCGAGTGCACACTGACTACGCTGGTCCCATGGATGGCATTTCCTATCTGGTCGTGGTCGACGCCTATTGCAAATGGCCAGAAGCGTTCGCCGTCAACCCAAGAACTGCATCCGCCACTCTCGGTTGTCCCCAACGCATCTTCAGTCAACATGGCCTTCCCGAGGTTTTGGTGTCCGACAACAGTTCCCAGTTTACTTCTTCCATCTTCGAAGACTTTTGTCGCGGACACTGCATCCAACACGTCCGCTCACCGCCTTACCATCCCCAGTCCAATTGTCAAACGGAGCGATTTGTTGACACCTTCAAGAGGGCGCTTATATAAGCTCGCGAGGAAGGGACCGTGGATGAGTGTCTTCAAGCCTTCCTGCTCTCGTACCGGTCCACACCGAATCCAGCTACACCAGGAGGCCAGTCACCAGCTGAAGCATTGATGGGTCGCAAGCTACGCACCACCAATGAAGCGATTATTCCGACTGATAAGCCACCTACTCACTCTAGCGCCTGCACCAAGCACAAAGAATTCGTCGTTGGAGCCCCGGTCTACGCTCGCTATTATCCAGCAGGTCATCAACGCCGGATCAAAGCAACTGTGACGGCCAAATGAGGTGACATGCTACATGTCTCCGTGGGTGATACCACGTGGGTTCGCCATAGCAATCAACTTCGACCGCGCCACGGAGAACCCTTCTAGCCAGCCATTCTTCCTTTGCGTCTGCCGCTGCACATCCTGTTGGGTGCCTTTGGATTGGCTGCACAACGACAGATCACAGTCGAAGCCGCTCAATCGGCGCCTTGTCTGGAGAAGCTGCCTTGTCGACGAACAGGAAGAATCCGGAGGTCGCCGAAATCTTTCCAGGTCAATCCTCCTCAGAAGCGGTACGCTTTCACTTCAAAGTATGTGTTGCGGGCCCGTTAAATATCCCCGAAAAACGCGCCCGAAACTCCGAGGTAATGGGTGTAGAACGCGCGGTCCAATTCCTCCTCACAGTGTAGCAATTTTCAGCCATTCCGGGGTTCGGCACAACAGCGCACCGGTTGACAAAATGCCACCACATCGTGGTAGCTCTTTTCCCTAACTTAATAACCCATAGCATTGGCTGTGATTTGTCTTTTGTTGGTCGTAAAAGAGCCTTCAGTGGACTACCTGCCTTGCTTCCTCTTCGCTTTAGTTGGGAGTCGGTCGGTCATCTGAGTTTGTGTGTCGATAGCCGGGCAAGGTTCGCGTCTAAGCCATTACCGCGCGTCTACCGTAACCCCTTCTCGCGTGCGTACCCTCGTCCGTTACGAAGGCTCAGCGCCCATCCGAATACGTGCGGCTAGGATCTTTCTCACGCTCGCTCCATTCCCGTCTCACGTGTGCGTACCCCGGGATAGGCTAATGCCATTAGGACAGCGTTAGATTGGCCAGCCTTTCCAAGCCGTTCTCATAGGCGTACTCCAATCGTGCCAGTGACAATCTTATCAGGCGTTACGCAATCAAAACCGTGGCGTTCTCTCAATTGTAACCATTGTCAACGAATGTCGCGTCATCAACACGGAAACTGCAAAAAGTTATAGCGTATTGCCTCAGGAGATTTTCACACAACAAGCAGAACGCCGGCGGGCACTTTGAGTATCTGCTTTGTTGACGGACATATCACCGTTTTACGCTGTTTATGTTTATCTACCTATTCACCGTTATCACTGCTTTCTGGACTAAATTGGTGCACGGACACATGGTGCCACAGATGAGTCGGGCCAGAATGAATTCAACTACCTAAGCTGACTCGACAGCACTTAGATTGACCACTTCTGTGTAACTTGGTTCACAATGGTAATACTTGCTTTTTAATGATTATGCTTAAGGGATATGGGGAGGGTGTGAACGAGATGGTGATGTGAGAATAGGCTGCGCGCTTTCGGATTTGTATCCTGTTCATCGGCGTACAGACTGGCGTAGGATGAATGTTTCCAAACAAAGATAGTCCAAGAACTTTTCAATAAGAATACAGACCGAGAAAGCGTAGCTTATTGGTCATTTTGCATTTGTTATTCGGAGTTTGCAGCATAATGTGTCAGAAAAGTTATCACAGGGATAACTGGCTTGTGGTGCACAGTATGCGTGAGAACCCAAACGCGTGTGCTGTGGTCCCACGTTTTGTCATTCATTTTTTTCGAGCCAATGAGTTTCGCGCTTTGTGCAAAACGGGATTCTGTATCAGCGAGGATTAGAGTTTGCTTAGAAATGCAGCTTCTCAGTACCGTGTTAATGGAATATTGTCTCGTCAGTGAATATGTTGGAATGAACGCTCATGGTCCCGCCTGAAACAAATTGGGCAGTGTAACCACACTTGTTTCCTGCAATGCCGATCAATACTGCGAGGGGATAATAGGCTATCAGGCAGCGAGTAGTCTCTAGACCGCATAGCTTTTCAAATTCCTATCTCAAAACGTTACATTTCATAGTTGCAAGGCCTAATTGTAAAGAATCCTTCTTTTGCTAAGGTAGGTTGGTGGAAGGTAACATTCAGGCTACAAGAACAGTGACACTAAACCTTTTGTCATTAGCTGAGATAAACTAATCACCTATTGTACACTGCTTGCTCAGGCCACTTACGCCTGTCCAAGCGCAACCACAATTCCATCGCAGTAGCCCGGTAATGAGGCACTGCTGTTTCCATTTTGAACACCTATCTCCGCTCTAACCGGCCCGACACACCGTATGTCTCAATCAGTGAACTTACCCTGTGGGGTGCCGTAGTTTGAATCCAGTTCAACCATCCACGCCTGATCCGGCGTTTTCACGATGGAGGACATCGACAACTACCCATGTACCCATATGCATGCATACGGTCGCTCTACATCCATGCGAGTGGGTGAGACATTTAGAGGTAGACCAACATCTACTATTGGACATTTGGCAAGTTAGTGCGTTTTAGCTCACACCCGAAGGAGTAACCGTTTTTCCCGCATTAATGGAGTAGAGGAGCCAAACTTTTGAGACAGGCTATAGCTGTTGTATACAGCCGGCAGCTGTTTTGTCTTTTGCACTAGGAGGATGGGCTAGCAACTTTGTTATCACTGTGGTTTAAGTTTCGTAAAGAAAGCTTTGATCCCAACAGGAGACTTTTTTAATGATACTCCATCTTCCAGAAGAGGCCTCAACAATCCCATGACAAGGTTCGTGAGGAATAATCGCTTACTTTAGACTCACTTTGCTAACTTGACTTGTATTACTCTAGGCTATAATGCACGAATGTTGCTTTATACCATTTTCATGTTTCTTCCGTTTACATGATTCCGCTGCTTCCATGATGGCCCTGATGCGCACCAGAATCAAAAAAGGTGAAAGCTCCTGTTCTGATAAGAAACGACAGTGAAAACCCCGCAGTACCTTTCCAAATGTACCTATTACATCCATACATAACCTCCAATCATCGACAACCCTGCATATGTGAGCATGTTGCACAAGTAAATATGCTCGGTTCCTTTGTGGGCACGACTTCTCGGTCACAAGATAAATACACAATATTATTGTATAGCTTACATATCATGTTATTCAGGATATGTCCATTTCCCCCATCAACGTTGACTAAGCGGAAAAGATGCAATAATGCTACCCACGTATTCTCCTAGACGTGCAATAGTTGCCCCAAAGTCGGTCAGTAGGACCTACTACTTCTATCCAACTTTAGAAATGCCCAGCTTTTGGTTTCGGTGTTCCGACCTCAAGTAATGCATCAAGATGCAAACTTGAGCACTGGACCACTGATTTCCTGTTTTTTGTTATGAAAGGAACTGAAGTGACGCACTTTTGAAAGCCAAACACAAACAAAATGCCCAAGTTCTGTTTGTATGACAAAAAATCAACCGGAATTTCTCTGCTGTTTCCTCAGAGTCCTATCCGAAGTTGCGTTATCTTCCAGAAATGATGCAGCCAATGGGTAACTGATGTATCAGTCATCTGTTGTGAGGTTACGGCTTGTACCTTTCAATTAGCTGACCAGTTTTTCCAATACACCAGCAGCATCAATGGACCAATAGTTTTTCTCTAGAATATTTCACGGTAGAACGTTTAAATGTTGTTTGTGGAATATGTCTTCTTGCATCACAAGATGCAAATATTCTGATACCGTAAGTTACCGGCCTGTTTTGAACTTACTGCAACACATTTGAAACGTTACCGATATTTCATCAACAGTAAAGAACTCTCTAAGTGAACGGGTTTACTAGTAGTTCTCTTCAACTTCGTCAAACATATACCGCATGGTGGTCAGTGTAACTTTCTGAGTTCTTCGACCTGTCTTTAGGATCAAATCGTATTGTAAACAACAAGAACAACATACTCAAAAGGAATACATTCTCGAAATATTTCCATTCCAGTTCCTTCTGCTACCCATAGTTTAACAAAAGTTGTACGTCCAGCACGTTTTACACGTTATAAAATCAACGGTCACAGAAACACCACCAGTTCAGTTTTCATAATAATTCTTGCAGCTCTTTTTCTGCTAAGATCTGACTGTACAAGTATAATATGTACGTCAGTAAACTGACGAATCTCCTCCATTATTCCACCTGAAATTAGCAGCTGAAAAGCCCGAACTTTGTCTTAAAGGAGTCCGGCACCGTTTTTCTTTGGACAATCAGTACCTTCACGATATGTTGGCCCGAAGTGTGCAAGTAGGCTGATAAAGAGTTTCTGACTGGTTAGTTACCTTGACTTAGCTAACGTACTAGTGTCCATGTCCACCTTTATCGTCACCGATTCGACATCAGAACATGTCATTTGGCTTCTGTCATTTTCTGATTCTTTAGTAAAATTGTTTTGGTTGTAAATCTTACCTACATCATCATCATCATCATCATCATCATCATCATCATCATCAGCAGCAGCAGCAGCAGCAGCAGCAGCAGCAGCATCATCACCACCATCATCATCATCATAATCACCATCACCATCATCATCATCATCATCATCATCATCAACAACAACAACAACAACAACAACAGTACATCAGCCGTTTGAACTGATGCTTCGCTGTCATACAACCAAAATGACCTAGGCAACAAAGGATAATAAGATGGAGAGAAGGCGGAGTTGGGGAAAACGCTTGATGCCCTAAGCAAACATTCAGAGTCAGGACGCCTACACTTTGTGTTAACAACATACTGTCACAAACAAATGGCTATCGTGCAAATATACGGCGGCATCGGCGAGACAGCTTCCTTGTGGTTTTCACTGACTCGCATCATAATCAGACATTATCCCGTAGATAACTCAGCACAAAATACACGTTAAACAGGCAGTCCGACTAGGAGACCGCAACAGACGCTCCACCGAACAGTGTGTTATATGAAATACACCAAAGCGACCAGTTAAGGTTTAAGCATGTCCTCAAATAAACGCAATCGAACGATCTCCCTTGACTAACCGAGTCCAAGAAGGAACATCCTTCACTTTCCAAAACGCTCCTATTGTTAGAGGCAGACGAATGGCGATTTGAAGATTATCCTTACTGCCATCTGAATTGATCTATCCTCAGTGAATAAAGTGCTTGCCCTCGAAATACCGACTTACACAACGTACGCAAGTCGTCAACTAAGCAAGCTTTTAATTCGCTTACTTCTAGCGCATATGCCGTCATGCTTACGTTAAAACCTGAATATGCGGTTGCTGCGACGACGGCTATTCATGGTTCTCACGTAGTTACGGGTAATGTAGAGCCATTCGCTGTCACATTGAGAGGTAAGACAGAAAGCGGACACTGATAGCCATTTCGCGGCGGCCTTAGCTTGACCCTACTTGCAGAGCCGTAGCAAAGGGGGGTCCGCCCCGGGTGGTATGTGAGAGGCGGCATTTTTAGTGTAGATGACTGTTCAATACCAAGTATACATTGATCGATGGTACCTCCGTGACTGGTGACAAAAATGAAGGGTGATAATCATAGTGAGACCGAAGATGAAATTGTGACTACAACCGTTGATCTCCGGGAAACAGCAAATGATATTGAAATCTTGGCTTCAGTGGGAAATAGTTATAATGTTGATGCAGATGTGCGTGAAATTGAAGAATTGGAAGTGCAATCACTCTTTGGCATGATAATACACACATTAATCGGTTTTAGGTATGTCTATCAGTCGTCTGTTAAGATTGACCATGAAATTCTCACTATGTTTGTCCGGCTCTGATTTATTGTCGTGAAGCACGTCGATCATGAATTCAATAAGTGGTGCTACCTGGAACGAATACAAAGCTGAGGCTAAGAAGTTAACAACTGTTGTGTCGGAACCCCTGCGACTGCTTCCACCCACTAACGGTAGTGGGAACACGAACGACCAGACCAAGATTCAAGGGTTATTTTACGCAAGGAAACTACTTCGTCATACAGCATGGTGCGCACGTGTGAAGCTGTCCCCCGTGGCCCAGTGGCATAAGCTGCTGACTGGCGGTTCAAGCCGCTGGTGGTCATGCGTTCGAATCCTGACGGATCCGATGGATGCGCACTACTGACGATGCCTAACAGGCTGAAACTGCAGTCTAGTGCTTTTCCGGGTATGTGGACGACTGTCTGATTTGGAAACTGGCTGCGATGGACCTCACATAAAAGCAATAAGAGCTGAACAAATGAGGAACCAATCAGGTGCAAACAAAGAACGCGAAATGAGAGTAATAGCGTCAGACTATGGTTGCGATCTGAAGGCAAAAACCAAGACTACAAATAGCCAAAAGGGATAGTGAAATGATGCGTTAAAACAAACCGCAGTGAGTCATCATAGCAAAACGAAACTCTGCAGTCATGAACAGCTACACAAGCATACCTGTATCTTATTTGCTCTTCTAACACCTCCCACTGCTTGAGAAACAAGTTGACCTTCGGTCCACTTAGCTCTTCGGACGGGATAATCCACCTGGGTCCACTTGGATCCGGGCCCAAGGTGGTTCCTGCGTCGGCCAACTGTACAATGTTGTTTATCGAATAAGTTGTCAGCACAGAAGTATTCGGGATATGCATCCCTGAGTAAGTATAATTTCCGAATTCCTTCCATTTCGGACAGATTAATGTTGCTACCTGTTATGACGCTGCCCTTTGCCTCTCTGCTCTCTGCGCTACCAACCAGCCGGGGAAAACAAAACGCTGAGCCTGCTAGACCGAAGTATATTAGGCACAAAAATGGCTACTTTCATAGATCACATGCGCTTACCTCGCCTCTATCACTGGGGTGAGTCACACCGCTTGTCTGAACATATTCGACTCTGGTAGCGGCCATCTCTCTCTGACTGAAGGTAGGATCACGTCCGCAACATAGCAACCCGTGCGGCAACGACGGTCTGGTTTCGTCAGCTTCCGGTCTGACCATGACAACGAGCCTGTCAGTTGCTCACGTCATCTGGCCGATCGCGCCCCGCTAGTGTGCACCATCTTAGCTGTTTCGCCTCCGTAACACTACCTGAGGCTGGGTAAACGGTTTCCAGGAGTTACAGTTCCTTAAGTTTTCGTTCACAAGCAATCACTCTGTCTTGCTGTACCAGTTCCCCTGGTGTATTTTGGGTCATGAGTTTTGTTGACTTGACCGATGGCTTGTCAAATTTTGTCTATGTCAATCTAGAAAGAATGGTGATGGCAGACATTCTTTGTGGTTATAGTGACACCGGAATTTAATCGCGTTTCACTGATGCATTGTGGAAGCTGGTCCTATTCATTTTGAGGCATGCTTGCACCCTTGGAGTACGCGCACCCGCATGAAGTGGCCTGCTTCTTGGCAATGACGATATTTGTAGGTGCAATCTCTCGCAATTTGCCTCTCACCGCCGTTCCAAGATGCAGTCGGGGGCTTGGAATTCTCTCTGTGCTTTTCTTGGCCGGTTTCACTTGGAAGCGATATTTTTGAAGTGGTTTTCAATACACTAAGACTTGGAGTTGACTGTTGCTTCTCCAGCATAGACGTGTCATGCTTGAGGTTCAGCAATCTTTGACATTCAGCAGTAATGGTCTGTAGAATCATTTGCGGGTCTTGTACAAGTTTACTCAGCAGTCTGGTGCAAATTTCTGCATACCATGGGGAATGTAGGTCACAGCTAAAAATCGCATTTGAACTGATCTGCCGTGATGGATTCGAGGTCGAATTTTTCACCCTCTCGATTGACGATGCCATCGTAAGTGACATAGTAATCAGCGTCCATCCTGGTTATCTTCAGACACTAGTATCCCTTGTTAAAGATGAATGACTGCTCTCCAAATATTTGGCCCAAGCATTTGACAGACTCATCAAAACTGCTGTCTCGAGCGTACTTGGGCAAAATAAAATTGACTTACCTGGAGTGCTCTTCTGTTTTAAGTTTCCTTAACAGCAATCGGACTTTCCCATCGTCATCACGGTCTCCAACTTCAACGCGGAATACATCTTCACAACGCTTGAACC